ACTCGGAATCTGGGCTTATATTTTTGAGATTTTTTTAAAAATTTTTAGAAATTTAGTTTTTGCCACCTTTGAACCCATTTTTTTGGCAAATCAAAAAGTTGCACATAACTTTTGTAGTTAATATCAGATGTAACCCAAAAGCTCTCTCCAAAAAATATAAAAAAGTTGCGTGACACTGTGCGGTTGGCTAATTATCATAGTTCAAAAGTACAAAATCAATCAGTTTTGTCAATTTTTAATCGGAGTTAATTCTAGCGGCGAAGTGTTGCACACAATTTTTCTTTTAGGATTTGAAATTATCAAAGGTATTGAGTCTAAAAATGCAAAGAAAGTTATGTGATACCTAAGGCCTATTAATATATTAAGGCTTGAAATTGGAAAAAAATGTTTTAGTATACTTACAAAATGAACCATTACGGCAGAGGCTTAGTTTTGTAAAAATGTAAACATATCCAACTGTCAATACAAAAAGGTCCTAACATAGTAATAAAAAAAATTCGTGTGATTTTGTCACACGTATGATATAACATGAATTAAAAACTGAACAAAAATCTAACATCAAGATAACTATATTGCTAATTAAATAAAACATAAATCAAACATTTAAATGTTTTTCCATTTAAAAATTAGTTTTTCATTTATTAATAGAGTCATTTACACACATTATCCACCACATCACATATAATTTCTACTCTGCTGCAGTAAGTTTCTCTAAGAATAATGATATGACTGTATTATAGTCTTTTTCGGAAAATGAATAATTGCCACAACCACTGATTAGAAAAGGAGCATTTACTAAACAGATAATTTTATCAGTTTGGTTATTTATCTCCTCGGTAGTAACTGGCCAGCGAAAAGTATTCTTCTCTTGCCTGTTAATCATACAATTAACTCTGATCCCAGTTGTAGATACCTAAAAGTATTAGCGCAACATTTAAAATAATATAATAAAGAGTTTATGATTTGTTTAATTTTGCTTACATTCAATAAAACTTGTAAAGTCTTATATAATGTCATTCTGAAGTTATTTTTACATTTTATTTATATTCCTTTTATTTTAGAGCACTGTTTTGTAAAACAAAATAAAAACTTGAAACTAATATATACTTTGAATAATATTACCTCCACAATATATCCAATATTCCATTATTTTTCATATGCAACAGCAACCCAATCATTCACTTTCCATACAAGACAAATTTCTTTTGCAAGATTGGCGATGTCTTCCTCATGTTTATTATCATCTTCATTGTCTCCTGTCAGATTAAAGTCATCATTTTCGCCATAAACTTCTTTGTTATCGTTAACCTGACTATTTTCATTATTTTCTGTTGTCGGTTCTACCAGCTTACCTTTTCTTTTCAGGTTACTAAATCTATAACAATATCAATTGTACATATTTTTAAACATATGTAAACAAACACACAAAATTATAACTTTCACCTAAATTTTAATTTCATATTTGTAAAAGAACTATTTAACAGTCAGAAACATAATCTAATTTGCAAAAGTTTTGATAGCAACAATGCCTACCTTGAAAATAAAGATTGTTGGCTAGTTACATATTGATCAGGCGAAAGTTCTCTCCTCAGCTGCATGTGAGCCTGGTCAGGGCTCATTTTATTACCTGATTCTTCTCCACGAATAAAGTATTTATACAACAGTTCTTTCTGCTGATTTGAAAATCTAAAAGAACTTCGAACTGGTAATTCCCAACCTTGCAATAGAAAAATGTTCATGCAATGTGGTTTGTCTTTTACGGAAGCACTGTTAGAGGATGAAGAAATTGGCATATTTAGTTGTGAAGTAATTTTCATCTTATGAACAAACGAGTTGCGAACTTTATCCAATGATGTTAATGATTTCGGAACTGTATGAAGACCGGATAGCATGTGTTCTTCTAACTCAGCATCGCTTTCAAATGATAAAATACAATTCATTTCAGTGCAAAATCCTAATGAATATAATTGCCTGTCACTTCTTTTCTGTTTTTCCTTAAGTGACTTGTTACGCTTAATTGAATTATCTGTTTTGCTATATGGCAACAACAACTTAATCGAGGGTTGAATTTTAAGATTTCCATACTCTTGTTCAATTCCCTCACCGATATTGAAATAACGCCACATCTTCATACTTTTCTCACCAAACTCAAATGAGTGATAGTTGCTAATGTTCTTAATCTTTGGTCCAGTAACTACAGTTTTATCATTGTTAATTTGAGCAACTGCTACTTTTGCATCTTTAGCGCCAAAACTATAATGCATAGCCTTGTGTATATCTTCAGCAGTCAAAAGATTATTACCAGAGTCAACATAACTCCTTAAAATTGTCTTTACAACTGCACTCTCCCTGTCACATTGATCTTTTCCACAACAGGGTTCATTATAATCATATCTCAGCAACTTTATATCTCTCTCTTTGCATACATTGTAGATTGCTTCAGCTGAAAGATTTCCCTGATAGCAGCCGGCATTATCAGATTTGGTAAACATTTTCTTGATATGCGATTGATCAATTCTGAATTGGTCTAAAACTGCAGTGGCTAATGAAACAACATCACCTATTCCCTGATCACACCTATACATTGAAGTAAAGTAAACACGTTTGAACATGTAAACTCATTCCTTTCTTGCCAAAATACTCTCTTTGGCCCTCTCTGTATTGAACCGGAAGCATTTTTTGACAAAAAATTTTAAGCCAGAAAGCAGTTTCATCATTTAATTGCTTAAAAGCTTCGATTTTTGCCTTTTTCTGTTGAGAATCTCTCATCAGGTGTTTTATGTAGTTGAATACATCCTTTACAGCAATTTCCAAATCATAAATAGAATCAGCATCGTCAGAATTTTGAATTGTTAGTTCTTTGATCATCTCGATAGCTTTGCACAAATCATAGCAATCGGCACATACCACTTCTGATATCTCTGTGTTGGATTGAAGATTTTTTTCAGATGGATCTGATAAGGCATGTTTTGAGCTATGAGAAGAAATGTTTGAGTCATTGACACTACAATTGGTTTGATAACTTGTTTTCAAATACCTTTTTCCTTTTTCAAGGGCAGCTTCAAGAGATTTAGAACTAAATCTTTGTGCCAATTTTTGTAATGTTTGAAAAGCATTCATGCCTGAAGCAGTAACATCATCTAATCCAGCTAAGCTTTTTCGACTTGAAGGTTTTATTGCATGCAATACTTTCCACAAACTTGAATCAGATAATGGTATATAATTGTTTTCACTACAACTTTTTCGATAGAACATGATAGCGTGGCTATATTTTGTCGTCAGTATTGCATGCACTATCTTTTGTTCTTCACCGCTGTCGTATTTTAATTTGGTTATTCCATAAGCAACATCATGCAAAATACCGCTTGTAAATATTAAGTCTAAGAAATGTTCACACTTTTTTTGATCAAGACTAGATCGGACGAATACTTTCTTCTCTGGAAATGCCAACCCTTTATGAGATGCATGCCATTTTCTTGCTGTTTCTATACGATGTTTGGTACACTCAAATGTGTTCATTATAAACTTTTTGGTATACTTGGTATGGTCTAATAATGAGAGGATAACTAACTTTCCCATGGAATCACTTTGCTTATATACTTTCTGAGCACGAATAATTTCAATTGGGAGAGGGCTATTTATTTCATCAACATTTTTACTGTTAAGAAAATCTATAAGTATTTCCTCTTGTCCAGGAGCAACAGCTTCCGCAAATTTTTTCTTTAATAAGTTTTCTAGGCGAACATACTTGCGTTTTAACTTATCTTTAGTAGTATCTTCCAGATATTCGAACTTCCTTTTTAATCTAAATTTTATTGGACTTGCATTAAGAACCTCAGTTACACTCTCACGGCTTCTTAGAGATTCGTCCAAAATCTCCTGTGAAACATTAATTTCACCGGGATCAAATTCTTCATCTGGAGTAGCAGGTGTCATATAAGTTTGTTCTTGTTGTGTTTGTGTTTCTGTACATAAATTGGTGTTTTCGTTGACACTAGATAAAGCAGTTTCTTGCTTTAAATGGGTAAAACACAGCATTGCACCAACTGAAAATACTTCATTGTATCGATTTGACATTGATATGACGACATGTATTGGTGACGCCCTTAAAGCGGGAGATTTTTTTCCTTTTATATTTAGATGGTGAGGATGAAAGCATGTTTTTGGAGGACTCCATGCAATACCAAACGTGTACCGGTGAAAAGCACATATTTGTTCATCCTTTTCAAGATTTCTTTTAAGTCTATTTGCAATAAGTCCATTTTCTTCCCAAATATTATTATCGTTTAATCGCATAACCTAAAAACAATTTTTTAAACAATTATTAAGTGTGTCATTTAAAGCATTGTTTATAATCTGACTCTTCACGAAAAATGTTTACAAGTTTGAAATACATTGTTGTTATTATTAAAATACAATATTGCAAGAGTGTGATTAATTTAGTGATTATTTATTAAAAGAGTGAGGAATTAATTAAAAGAGCTATTTTTTTTTGTTTAAAGAACTTTGTCTCAAAATCTTATTGCAGAGAAGTTATAAAGTATGTAATTATAAAAATTATATTACAGTCTGCGTAAATTTAAAATACATAATTACCTTTAAGTTGATGAGGTGTTTCTTAACATCAACATCTCCCAGCTGATGAATGTAAAACATTTTGTTTATAATTTTATGTTTTTTGAATGATCCACAATATCCTTTTGAAAAGCAACAACAGTTTTCATAAAAATATTTGTTTTGTTCCATACTCAACTAAAAACAAGTTCTTTTTATGCAGTACCTATTTCTCAATAGCAATGATAAAATATCTACTCTATTTATGCAAATTTTAAAGATCGTTAAAATAAAGTTAAGACATTTTTATGGTAAAGTAAACAACCGCCCACTAACTTGTTTCTCCACAATCGTGATATCAGCGATTCTTCTTCCATTCGATCACCACAAGTTATTTGGTTATGACGTAAATTTAAATAATTCACTTCTGATCATGTATTGTTTTTTATTATTATTTATTTCAATTGTTATGATTTCTATATCATAGTCAGAAATGCTTAAATTTTTTCTTAACATTACGTGCAATGTTTTGTGTAATGCTAATTGCTAATTTTGGATGATAGAAATTTTATTGTGAGCGAAAACCTCATCTGTGTGTCCAAAAAAATATCACTTCGTACTTAATCATTTTTAACAATTTGTACCTTTATTTTTAACTTAATATCTAAAGATCACATGAGTTTTTTTTTAAACTATGTTAGGGTCATCTTATATTGACCATTTAACATGATTATATTTTTACAAAACTTAGCGCCTCTGCCGTAATAGCTCATTTTGTAAGTATACTATAACATTTTTTTCCAATTTCAAGCCTTAATATATTAATAGGCCTTAGGTATCACATAACTTTCTTTGCATTTTTAGACTCAATACCTTTGATAATTTCAAATCCTAAAAAAAAAATTGTGTGCAACACTTCACCGCTAGAATTAACTCCGATTAAAAATTGATAAAACTGATTGATTTTGTACTTTTGAACTATGATAATTAGCCAACCATACAGTGTCACGCAACTTTTTTATATTTTTTGGAGAGAGCTTTTGGGTTATGTCTGATATTAACTACAAAAGCTATGTGCAACTTTTTGCCTTGTCAAAAAAATGGGTTCAAAGGTGGCAAAAACTAAATTTCTAAGAATTTTTAAAAAAATCTCAAAAATTTAAGCCTAGATTCCGAGTGAACAAAACATTTTTTTTCCCCAACAGGTTTTCTCTATATTCTGATCAATATATAAAAAATTCAAGCAATTTGGAGGAGGTCACTTCCATTGACTGCCTGATTCTTACAAAAAATGACTCTTAAAGAGGACATTATTGAACATTCAAACTCTCCCTGAAGAGCTCAGGTAATTGTAACTAAAGGAGAATGCTCTAAGAAAAGATTAGTCATCGACTACAGTGAAACAACAAATAAGTATACTCAACCAGACGCTTACCCAGTACCAAGGATTGATGATCTAGTTAACAAATTTACTCAGTACAAAATATTTAGTTGATTTGAAATCAGCTTACCATCAAATTCCAATTACTGAAAATGATAGAAAATTTACAGTTTTTGAAGCAAATGGGAGGTTGTTCCTATTTAAGCGAATGCCTTTTGGAATTGAAAATGGCGTTGCTTGTTTTTAACGTACCAATTTAAACGAATTTATAGAAAAAGAAGGACTTTTAAATACTTTTGCTTATCTAGATAATGTGACAATATGTGGTAAAACCCAAGAGGAGCATAATAGTAATCTGGAAAAAAAATTTTATGTCAGCTAAAAATATAAATCTTACATATAATCATGATATATGTAGCTTCTCCCAAGATGAATTTGCATTCTTGGTTATCTTATAGAGGAAAGAAAACTCAAACCAGATCCCAGTCGTCTTCAACCTATGAAAGAGATGCTTACTTCTCGTGATGCTAAATCTATGAAGTGCATCATCGGACTACTCTCATACTACTCTAAATGGATTCCAAACTTTTCTGACAAGGTAGCTTTTTTTACCAGAAACACCAAGTACCCATTAGATTATCAGTGTGTAAATGATTTTATTCAACTTAAACAAGACATTGCAAACGCTGTGACTTTGCAATGTGATTATGTCAAAAATCTCCCGTTTGAAGTAGAAACCAATGCATCTGACATTGCTATAGCTGCAGTTCTTAATAAAATGGGCGCCCTGTTTTTTGTTTTTTCAAGATTACTTCAAAAGTCTGAGCTCAAACATCCCTCTATTGAGAAAGAAGCTTGTGCAAAAATAGAAGCAATCAGACATTGGAAACACTACCTTACTGGATGCCATTTTAGAGTTATTATCGATCAGCAACCTGTGCCCTATATCTTCGAAAAGCAACATAATCAAAAATTAAAAATGATAAAATTTATGGATGGAAAATTGAACTATCTTGCTATAGCTATAACATTATTTACAGGGAAGGGAAATTAAATATCCCAGCTGACACATTTTCTAGAATACATTTCTCAGCAATAAACACTGACAACTTAATTCAGCTTCATCAATCACTCTATCATCCTGGAGTAAATAGAGTTTATGCTCTTATTAAAAAAGATATGTTAAACTAATAAATTATGTTGTGAATGTAAGCCTAGATACTACAAACCACTAAAATCTAATTTGATAAAGGCCACACAAACACAGAAACTAATAACAAGTATTTTTTAACCATAATTGATGAGTATTCTTGTTTTCCCTTTGCGATCCCGTGCCCTGATATTTCATCACAGACTGTAATTAAGTGTTTGTCACAAGTATTCTCAGTTTTTGGTTTGCCAAGTTATATCCATTCCGATAGAGGTTCAGCAATCATCAGTAAAGAATTAAAACAATACTTACTACAGGCTTGGACAGGAATGGCGTGCAATCGAGCGCTATTGCTGACCATGCAAATGATTTTATTTCTTTTCAACTTGGCCACGATTGCTTATATGTTTTGATAATTTAAAAATTTCAAAAATGTGCTGAATGTAGAAACGCTAAATTAAACTTAAACTAGGAAAAAAGTTAAAAAAAAAACTAACGAAAAAAAAAATTCTTAACGAAAAAAAATATTAATGAAAAAGAAATTCTCTAAGCACTAAAATAAAAATTAAAAATAAAAACTTAAACTTGAAGCGAAACTTTTAGTTACATTTTTTATTACATTTGAAATAAACCTTTTTAAACCTTTTATTAAAGTTGCGCAAAATGCTTTTAAATTAAGTGGCAAATTACTAAATTTAATAAATGAACAAATTTTATCAAATTTATTAAAAAGTATTGTATTTAATATTTTTAAATTGTAAACATTTATTTTCTCAAAAAAATTTGTTTAAAAAAATAACTGAGTGCTCTAATTAGTAAGTCTAGTTAATAAAAAAAGGTTTCCAACTTTTTTATTTGTAAAAATAGGAAAAAATAAATAAATAAAATTCATAAAATGAAGTCTATTGAGAATGCTACTAAACAACACAATTTACCCATCAAAGGTTGGGAAAAAGTATTGCCAGATGTTCTCCATTCTATAAGATCATTAATAAATATTAAAACAATAGAGACACCTCATGAAAAAATGTTTAAGCACCTTCGTAAAACAGCCACTGGGTACACTGTACTTTCATGGTTATGTCATCCTGGACCAATACTAATGAAAAGACATTTACGTAATAGTAAGTATGAACCACTGGTAGACAAAGTTCAACTCATAGATGCTAATCCTTAATATGCTCACATAAGGTACCCAGATGGAAGAGAAACCACAGTTTTGCTAAGACACTTAGCTCCAAAAAGTTCTGCTTCAATTATTGATCAAACAAATCATATTGAACCTTCACCAAAGAATACTTTTAAGAAACCTTCTTACCTTGATAAACCGTTAACACCTGAGAAATAAGGATTTACCAATACCTTTCCTGAAAACTCTCCAAAATAGGCTCCCCTTTATCAACCTCTACTAGCTGAATATCTTGTCAATGATTCTTCTCCAATTGATCCGCACGTAGATCCTCAAGAGTAAGTTGTTGACCATTACAATTTATAGAAGAAGATACATGAAGAATCTTGTTTATTTAATATGAACTCTGTTTATATTATGGTTGCAGAGAATGTTGTGTTTTGATTATTAACTTTGTTTATGTTATTTACTTTGTTTATATTATGGCTGCAGAGAATGTTGTGTTTTGATTATTTACTTTGTTTATTTTAGAGTAGAAAAACTTATAAGAATTAAAATTGTTGTTGTTTATTATACAAGTGTTTCAGTATTATTATATTTTTAATTTTCTTTGTATTTTGTTTGCAACATGTTGCGGCTTCAAAAATATGTTTTATTTTTCCCATTTAAATTAAAATAAGTTTTAAAAATGACAAAACAACAATAGGTCAGAAAAAAAAATTATGCTCAAATATTTAGACATCTACACCATTAGTCGTGTTATCCAGAGATTTCACCAAACAAAATCAATCAAAGACAAATCTGGTGGTGAAAGAAAAGAGAGTTTTTAAGATTAAAAAAACCATACTGATTAAAAAACTAGTTAACAGTTTTAAGATTATTCTAAGCCTTTTACTAAGAGATCACGCTAAAAAAATTAGATTTTTTCATAGCTTTCTTGTACAAGTTCAAAACATGATAAATTTGCTTAAAAAGCCTTGATTTAGCAAACTATTTGCATATGTGGCAAAAAATCAGCCTCTTTTAATTCTTAGTCCATAATTTCTGGGAAAATATATGTTAAAGAGTGTTTACAAAAACATCTTTTACTTTTCATTAAATTGCATGATAATAAACATGTATTCTGATCTAATTTAGTTTCGAGCCACTTTAGTAAACTGGCTATGAAATAGTTTAAACAAAGTGATATAAAAGTTGTGCCTAAAACAGAAAAAGTGATATGAAAGTTGTGCCTAAAACAGCAAAACCTTCAAACAAAAAGAATTTAGAATTATTGGAAAGTACTGGGCAACTATTAAAAAAAAAATGAAAAAAAAAACTATGCAGAAACAATAAAGATTTAAAAAAGCATCAAATAGATTTGGTTGTTGTTCTGTGCACAAGATTATGGGTACCACCAAAACAAAAGTTTAAAACTTTACTAAAAGCCCACAGAAATAAATTAATTTCTCTGGGCTTTGAATAGGAAGATAAAATATTTAAATTAAATATTTTATCTTCTTATATTAATGTATTAAAACTATCACTTAGTTCTAAATTAAAATTGATGAGCACCTTTTTTATAATTTTCTAAAGTACACAATTAATAAAATTACAAAAATAAAATTCTAAAGTACACAATTAAAGTTACACAAATTCAGAACAGTAAATCAAAAAACATAAAAAAAAAATTCAAATTAAATTTACCTGAAAAATTTTCAAGTGATTTATTTAAAAAAAATAAATTGTTTTCTGCCTCATCAGGTTTATTGCTCACTGCAATTTTCTTGAAAGACTTTTCAGTTGAAATTTTTTCTAAACTTTTGTTGATGTTTTGAATACTTGACTCATTAGAGACCTTTGATTCAATCAAACTTTTGTTAAGTTGAGTTATTTCACTTGATACAAAATTCTGGATTACGAAAAGTACATTCATTAGCAATAGAAACTCCACACTATAACAAAGGTACATATAATTTATTAAATGTTTGTAAATTTAAGTTCTAATCACATAGTTAATTTTAATATTACTTTATTAAATTTATCTTGAAAATTTTCATAAATTAACATTAATAAATTTCTGTTGGATTAAGCACTAAGAGAATGTTAAATTTAAAGTTTCTAAATTAAGTAAAAGCTAATTGATTGATTACAACTTGTTAATTTAAAATTTTTTGTTATGTAAAAAAAACCTATTTGATTTGGAAAATTAATAAGAAAAATAAATATATTTACTCAAAATATAAATTGATATTACAAGAATAAAATAATTCTAATAAATATTTATATTTTAAAGTTTAGTATCTATTGTTTTACACTGGTGTTGTTAAGAAAAGTTTTTACAACTCATTTAATTAAGATATTAGATACAATTAAAATAATTTTTTACAAATAGATACACTTACTGACATTAATCTAAATAACTGGCACTTACTGGCATAAACCTGATCTGTAGATCAGATTATTTTTGATTATAATACTACAAGCTCTGTTTACTCTTACACACAATTAAATTTTATACTAGAGTTTTCTTTCTCCAAGAAAAATTGACTAACCTATACAAAAAAGAAAGCATTGTCTATTTAAGCTTTTTGTCTATTATATAATAATGCATTTTGTCTATTGAAGCATTTTATCATAATAATGCATTTTGTCTATTTAAGCTTGGAACAGCTTAAATTGGCAAAATGCATTATTATGTTACCTGTGTGTGGTAGACCAACTAGTTCATAGTTATTTATTCAGCAACTAAGGTTTAGTTTAGAGGGGTTTTACATTTACTGAAAAGAGATTCTAAATTACAAAGTTACACCCATTTAAAAAAAATATTTTTTCTGAAGAATAGTTTTATTTGTCCTATTTAATAGATTTTAAAAGAAATGATAATTATAATAATCAGCAAATAACAAATAAGGTTATGACAGATTCATCGGCTCCTACGACTTACATAAAGGTATATGTAACCTAGCCATCATTTAGATGTGAAATTAAAAATTTTTAATGTGTGCATAACAAACCTCTACAGATATAACTCTGAAAATGGTTTGTTAATTTTCTAATGCTAAGACCAAAGAAAAGATTTCAAACTTTGAAGTCTTTTCTTTGAAGTTCAAAGGGTAGACAAAAGGAAAAACCAGAATGCTTACAGACACTAAAAGTAAGTTAATTACAGAGCAAAAAAATAAAAAAGAAGATATTAAAGTCTAGGGTTGAAAAGTTCCGGAAAAGGTTTAGATTTTAATATCTTGGATTAATTAGACTACGACTCTTTTAGACCTTGATTTTAGTTGATGTTTTTTTTTTTCTGAATTTCCCGGAAATTTTCCCGGAAATTTTCAACTCGGGAAAATCTAGGGTTGTAAATTTCCGGAAATTTTGAAAATTTTCAAAAAATAATAATTTATAATTTTTTTTAATAATTAAAAATTAAAAAAAAAAAAAAAAAAAAAAACGGGTTTTATTAATTAAAAATTAAAACTGTAAAACTATGTATATAAAGATTCTATTGCATATTTACAGTATTTTACAATTTTTTGTTGATTTAAAGGCGTTATTGAAATTTTGTTAAATTTGAACTATTTAAAAATATAGTTAGCAAAAAAAAAAAAATGAAAAACTTATAATTTCGATGTCATAAATATCACCGCTATGTTTAAATAAGTGCTTTTAAGACTTAATTCTCACACGTCACAACCTAACAAAATTTTTTCTAGTAGAAGGAAAAACAAAATGTCATTTCAGAGAAACAAATTAATAGTCTGTTGGACACCAAAAATATTCCTGCTTCTATTTCTTAAGTTATTTCGTATTTAACTTTTTTTACAGCCTTTGATCTAGACAATATATCTGCTACAGTGCCTTACAAAAGTGTTTCCCAGAAATCTTTTCAATCTTCTCTAAAAATACTCTGAACATAATAATCACACTCTAGTTGTTATTTCTATTTATTTCTTTTTTGCTTTCAGATTACCTTTTTCTACTGATCTTTTATGTTGTTTATAAAAATATTTGCAAGGTTAGTACCTAATAAGGTTGCCTTCATTGTGATCATAATTGTTTTATTCCTGATTCCATTCTCTATAAAGGTCTTTTATTTGTCATAGTATAAAACACTGTTGTCATGCCTGGGATGGTTTGAAATTAAAAATGTAGGGAAGACCGGGGACATTGGATTTATTTTAATTAAGCATATTTAATAACTATTGCATTTTTTCAAAGTAACATATTTTTTTTTCAAATTACAACGAGTAAGGTATATTTTAACTTTCTGTATATTTGTTGATTTTAAATGTTTAAAAACTATTATTAAAATGTTAGTCAAGTGTTTGAAGATACCCGGCACGCGGGGTAACTTAAAACAATACATAATGGCACATCTAAATAATCATTTTTTCACTCTAAAATCTGTTTTTAGCGGGAAACTGTCACCTAATAACTTCAAAGCTAAGAGCTATGTCTACCAACATATCGACCATGATTGTCCTAATGTTAACAGGGTAGGGGTTTCACAGTTTCAGGTTTTTAAGTGTCTATTCTCTCCCCGTATCCGGTCACCCTAGTACTATGTAAAGGTATTTTTAGATATTTTAAAGTATATATTTTTTTAAGAGCAGCTAAAAAAACACTCCTTTGAAAAAGCAAACGTTTTTGAAAAAGTTCGCGTTGTTAAAAAAAGTTACGTTAAATACTTTAAAATAAAATTAAAATTACTTAATCTCTAAATAAAAACTTACTTAAACGTTGTTTACTTAAGTTGTAGTTATTTGCTTTTAATGAGTTTTAATTATTTGCTTTTAAGCATGTAAATAACTCAATACAACTAAGGCATCTTACACGTTTTTCCGAACAAAAAAATGAATTTTTTCAATTACAATATATATATAAGTTTTTTCATCAAAAAGTATGACATATTTGGTATGTATGGAAAGATTATTTTAACCACTATTATAATCTCGTAAAAGTAATGCGACTAAAACAAATCGTCAAGCGTAGTTTTATTTAGAAAAGATGCAATTTTCAACATAAAGATCTTTTGGACTTGGCTATAGATAAGTCTATGAATTTGATTTGTTTATAAAAGCACGTTTTGGTATTTCTTTTCAATGAATGTTTCTTGACATTTCTAATCAGATATTATTTGGGAAAACTATCCATAAAAATCATTTTTTTATGAAAATTGAAGTTGTTGTTTTCAACACCACACCTAAATGAATATGTTTAACAATAATGTCACGTTAGATTTAGATAACCTATGGTAGTGTTAATTTTTCGACCAAAGTCGTTTTTGAATAAATAATCAAAACTTTTAGCCCCATTAAAAAAACTGTTTTCGGTATTTACCCGACGGGCATTTGTTTTTAAAAGTTACGTTCTAAATGTATTTTAAATGTCTTTTAAACGTTTTTTGCGTAAGAATGTTTAGAAGACGTTTAAAAGACATTTAAAATACATTTAGAACGTAACTTTTAAAAACAAATGCCCGTCGGGTAGTATCATTTTTTTTTTAATTCTTGGGACTTATTCGGCCATCTTGAAATAATAAATTGTTTCATTCAGAATGCGTAAACAATTAAAAAACAACTTTATAAACAAATTACTTTCAACTCGAATTCTTTGTTTGCATCTTTGTCGAATTTTCAATTCGATATCTTTGTTTGATTATAGGGGAAAAAATCATTATCAAACGTCGTAACGATGACGTAGAAGATAATGTAGCGGAAATTTTAAACCAGTCCTTTGAATTCTAGAACATCAGAGAACAGAGAATGATTTTTAAAAATTTGATGGACGAAAACATTCCGAGAAAAATCTAAATTAGAATTTCAACTTAGAGTATAAACTATTAGCTTTATGATCTTTTTATTTTTTACCTGTAATTTGGGCGATAAAAAGAATAAATAAATAAAATACCAATAAATAAATAAAATTTTCGGTTTGCCACTAACAACCAATCGGATTTGTTTTAAACTATCGGGGTTTTTTTTTTACAAGTTTGTTTTATGCCTAAGTTACATTGAGAAGTTCTACATAGTAAATTTTAGGAAAAATTACAGTCAAGACAAAATTAAAATTATTTATGATCTAAGAACAATAACCAACAAAGTAAATGCTTTATTTAAGTTTTACCAAATTCAGCTCAAGCTATTTCCAGCAAAATAAAAAAAAACTAACTTTTTCTTTTATGTTTGAATTTTTTAAAACATTTTTTCAATGAATTTAATGGAGCTTTCAAAATGCTAAAAAGATCATGCAAATAATCCTGAAAATATCAATAAAGATATTGCTAAAGAAAAACATCAAAAACTATTTAAATTAAACATTTACATTTTTATTAAATCATAAATATATATATTTGCATACATATTAAATCATATTTCTAATAAACCTTCTCTAATAAACCCCCTCTAATGAACCTCCTCTAATGAATCTCCTCTAATGAACCTCCTCAAATGAATATCCTCTAATGAACCTTCTTTAAACTAACTGTATATTAATTTAGAGAGTAATGAGATTTCTGGAAAACCTTTTGAAGATTCTGATGTTGTGAGAACCACCAGCTTTTAGTAGACAGAAATTGGTAAAATTTGGATGTCAAACAATGTATTAACTCAGGAGTACGAGGAAGAGTATTAGATTCAAGTAGTGAGTTCTTGGCAAACAATTAAGCTTTTTGTTTGAAGAGGTAATTAGACAAATCTATGTTTAAATTATGAAATTTTAAACTTGGAATTAACTATTTTAATTTTAATTTTTGTGTTTAGTGGTTTTTGTGATGATGATCTTTCTGGATATTTATTTGATATAAATGGATGTAAAACGTTTGTAATGATGTGTTGAATTCAGGTTAATAAATAAATATTTGGAAAGACCTGTTTCAACCTATAGCACCTCCTAACATCAAGTGCAATTCTGTCCGCTTTTTCTATGCTATCTTTCTAACACGACTACTTCTGTCTTTTACTGTAACATATCTTCGTTCTTCCTAAACTCACTTTACTCTTAGTCCGTGGAGCAGGTTATGACACTATTAATTACCTGAACTTATCTTTGCGGTCCTTAGTAATGTGGCCTCCGAATAGCAATTAGCTGGAGGAGGTTAAACCACAATACCAATATTAGGAAAGAAAAGAATTTTTGTTTTGAGAGAGAAAATAGCACATATATGTTATAAACTTTTGACCTCTACTTTTGAAACATCTTTAATATTCCATGACAATTTTTTAAATGGTCCGCTGTTGTTGAATAATCCCATTTTCCTTCGTATGTAATCCCATTTTCCTACGTATGTATTTTTCTGATGTTGGTTTTTTAATTTCGTTTCACCAATAGAAGATTTTGTGTCGAAGCTATCAAGCTTGTACACACTTAGCTAAGAATTTAAAGGAAGAGAATGTTTATTTTTTGTAGTAAGTATACACTTACTACAAAAAATAGAGGTTTATTTTTTGTAAATATGAACAATAAAAATGTTTTAAAAGTAGAGATCAACAATTTTAACAGAAAAGTGAGGGAGGCATTTGAAATATAACGCCATTAATGTGCACCTTCAGGATGTGAATCAGGATGACGGAGGTTACGTCTCAACTTCCTTTTGGAAACCTATGTTTCGACATTTCAATCAAAACAAATTATTACATTGTTTTTTTTTGTTTTGTTTATTATATATATATATATATATATATATATATATATATATATATATATATATATATATATATATATATATATATATATATATATATATATATATATATATATATATATATATATATATATATATATATATATATATATTATACTTAACAACAAGGTTATCTATACTCTCTCGAAATAATGTATATAAATTAATTCAAACAATAAAGGGTTACATCCATAACAGAATGTTCTGAGATAATTTTTTAGAATTAAATCATAAAACTTTTTTAGTTTTTTAGAATAATAGTCTTACACTCCGGTAGGAGGGGGTGGGGATGGGGGAGGGGAGGGTGTCGTATCTATAATTTTCTAAAGAGGAGAACCACCCTTACCCTTTTATGGATCCGTCCTTGCTCTTAGGTAGTTTATTATAGTGCAAAGATGAGGTGTATTAATGATATAAAATTTTTAGAAATTATACTATGATCTAAGAAAAAAAGTTAACCGAAAACTGACTCGGATACAAGACATATAAAAGACCAAAAGTAAGTGATCGGGGAATAAAATAAATGAAATCAGTAATTTTTCATGGTTTTTTGACCCCCTTGCTTGCTTTTTTGTCAAACTGTCGGTTTTAAGCCTTTTTTTTTTCCATTCGAGAATCAATATTATTTTTAGGCCTCGAACCATTAAACTGAGTATTAAAGCTGTATTTTCCTTAGGAGATAATAGAAATAGATTTGTTGCACTTTCAAAGACCCGCACGCAAAAATCCTCAAATAGAGTCGAGAGGAACCAGCATTTGATATTAAAAAAAAACATCCGCCTACTGCCTTATTCTTACTACAAGGATGTAGTTAGTATTCTAACTACATTTTCAGCCATACTCAACTCAAAACCCAAAGCAAGGAATGTTTTAAGAAAAATTGATTTCTTCTATTCTTTGTTTTATAGGTATTGTTAAAATTCTGAATATATTGTTGACGACGGAACAATAGCAATTAATCTTTTAGGTATTGCACAACTTCCTAAAGTCGTTTTTTTTTACGTTTTCATAACCTAAGCTATCTGGTGTCATGAAATAAATAAAAAATACAACCAATTCTAATAGTTGCTTTATGTCAAACAAAATTTATTAAGGATATATGACTACAAAAATAGCTGGCTCTTATTACTAGTGACAAAAAAAGCTAAACTTTTTTTGGGTGGATGCATTAAGTTATATTCTTCATCAACTCAAAACCAGACCGTTATAGGAATGTATTAATCGTAGGACTACGTATGTCTTCCTAATTCACATGAGCATGAAAGTGGATTTAACTCTTTTCTTCATATAATAATTGCAATTTATAAATCTGTTATATTGGTAAAAAATGCAGCTTTTGTAAAGTTTGTTAACACCGTGGAACCTAAATTTGCGTTGCTTACATATGCCAAATTTAACAGCCTACTTAATGAAGAAGTTTATAGACAAAGTAATAAAATTATTGGGAACGAAAGCTCAAGCTGAACGCAATATACTTATTAAGTTAAAAGACGAGGTTAGCGGAGAGCAGATAACAGATCCGGAGGAATGCAAAAAATATGATAAGTAGTGAATAATGGAAACAAGTTGACTTAATAGTCGTGGCATAAAAGATCGTGATCCACGTGGAATACAATTATTTGTAAAGTTTGAATATGATGGCTAATATTGTAGCTTACTTTTAATTTTTGAACTTACTTTAAAAATTGTGACTTACTTTTAATATTGGGGCTTACTTTTAAAATGACCCGTTAGTAAGATTAGTGAGAAAAAATCTTCTGTAACATCATTAAAAAAAAAATTGTTCACAAAAATGACAGGACTGTGATAACCTCCGAATGAACTTTCTCCATCAAATATACTTTGAGCCAGAGACACTTGGAGAAGCCAGAGATGTAGCAATTATAATGCTTGCTGACCTACGTGGTAGATTTGCAGTTCTTTTGCTGTCAAAAAATCCTAATTTTAATTCACTGTCAATTAACGCATGTTTCTTTGATCCCTAGTGTGCAATTGCTCTATTAGATTTTTAAATCAAACACTGTGCAAGGGCAAACATTTTGTTAGAGGCCAAAAAGTCTGTTTAAAATGATTAAGCAACAAGTGCTTCAACAAAATGGAAATATTGAGCAGAAAAGCAGCTTTTAAAATTGAACTCAACAAATATCTTACTGAAATAACTTTGGAAATATGAGCTAAAGCTCTTTAAACTTCTGGAAAGTGAATTTATTCACATCAATTGCTGATAACCTCATTGCAGCTCTGAGAGCACAGGCATTTTTGAAAGATTTTTTTCGATCTATTAATAAATGGACGAAGAAATCAAATGTCATTAGAAATGCAAGTTTTTTTTAAAAACTATTCTAGAAATCTGGTATAGTCTCTATCTAGTCTAGATGATAAGCTCACATTCTCATAATCATTTATGTATAAATTCTATGAATACAAGCAACGTCAATACATTAACTAATCATGAGTCAATAATCTTAGTCAACGCAATATTTATCAGTATATATGCAATTTTAGATATAATTGCAATTTTAGATATAGTTCGTAGCATAAGTAACTCTTTTAATAAAAAGCAATTTGTATTAGAAACTTTTATTAATCTATCCAAAGCGTTTGACACAATTAATCATATTATCTTACTTGAAAAAATGGAAAAATGCAGAATAAAAAAAACTGCCCTGAATTGGTCTACAACCCCTGAGAAAACTCGGTACAATAATGTTTGCCGGTGACACAAACTTGTTTTATTCATCAGCATCAATTAAAAACCTCATTGAATCAGTGAACAACGACCTTGAGAATCTAAACATCTGGTTTAAAGTTAATAAATTATTTTTAAATAAAGAAAAAATAACAAACATCTTGTTTCATTTCAACCAGCAGAAAAGTATTATACCAAGCATGCTACCTTTACTAAAAATTGATAACATAAACATCAAAAGAATTGAAATTTTTATTTATAATAAAATAAATTCCCTCATGCCGATTCCTTACTTAAAGACTTGAATACATAAAATATCTACTAAATTACCAAATCTACCAAAATATTTTATTTATGCTCAAATATAAACTCATAGTTTTAAACTCACAACTTTTTTTAAATATAAACTCACAACTTTTTTTACTAATAAGTTTTTTCAAATCAATGCCAACAGACACATCACACGAAGAACAGGAAACTTCACATTGCCTATAGGAAATTTTTTTTTTTGAGATTCTCAATTGAATACTGTGGCCCCTTCTTATACAATAAAATAATACCTTAAAATATAAAACTTACTAAGTTGGATTATTTTATCGCCCCGAAGAAAAAATTAAAAGATCTCATATTTAAGAAAAACGATTTTATTGATATGTATTTTATGTATAAAATTTTAAAAATAAATAATATTGAAAACTATTTAAAAATATATATAAAAATAAAATAATAATATGTCTCTTACATTACCTAAATTTGCAGGAAAGACTTCAATATGAGAATTCTCATACTGACATCTTTTTGTTCCGATGGCCACATAGTTCATAATAAACCACTTGACCAGTTCTCTGTGGTCGTCCAATTTCCTGTTTCCAAAAAATCCATCAACGACGGCCTTTAATGAGTTCTAAGTTGTCTGTTTCAAATCATCCAGTTTTGATGTAAACATAGAGTCATTCATTAAAACATGTCTAGTTTAAGGTTTTATAAAAACTCTTTCTATGGTTTTGACATCACTCATCCTTGAAAATGTCTCTTTGAGGTATTGAAAGGTGGGCTCTGAATCACATTGTGTTTTTGTGAGACATACTCAGATCTTACCGACCACTGCTTCTGTAAATAATGCTGCTTATAAGCGTGGCTGTCCCACAAGCACAAAAAGCAGCAGTACTTTGTGTAGCCACTTTGTACGCCCAATACGTCTCATAACTTTAAAGTTGGCACAAATATTCCAGCCAAATTTCCGTTTTTGATGCACCTATAAACAAACGAACTTTATCCTTTAGCCACTCCGTCAAATTTGAGTAGCATAATAGACAAATAATTTGGGGTGCCCATTTTTTGTCTTGATCTCCAAGCTTTATACTAAAGTAAGCATTAAAATCAAATTTGAAAAAAAGAGAAATATTCTTTCTCCGTGACTTTGTAGTAAATAATCCACAAACATCACAAAAACTTTTAGGATGGTTTACGCATCTCCATCTCTCAGCCATCTTTCAAAACAAATTATAGTTATTAAACTCATGTAATAAATTTGTAGTTAGAGCCAGTTTTTTAAATATTTAACTTATAAAGCTCCTACTTCACTGACAAAACACTTATTGAATGCTTACTAAATATAGGCCTACATCATTAGCTAATAAAACAAGCAAATTCAGATATTATCATCAACTAAAATGTTTTGTAAGAAAAAATTTATTGTCATCTAAATATCATTGCGGTTCTGTAGTGAACAGACGTGCTTTTGCTACGAAAGAAATAAAATAATAAAATTGATATTGCAAGTTTTATTTTTTTTTTTTTTTTTCAAATCTTATCAATAATGAGTTCAAAACTTAACAATGAAGTCTCAATAAAATTAGTTCGTGAAATATTTCAAGAAATGTTCCAAAAACAACAAAAAGATATTTTAGCGTTAATAAGTGCAAATTTAAAACTGGCTAATGATCGAATTGATGGATTGCTAAAAGAAATTAATACATTAAAGAATTCTTGTGAAGTTTTAAAAAAGGAAAATGAAAACCGAAATACCGACCTTAAAAAAACAAACAAGCAGATGATAAAGTATGAAAAAATACAAAAAGACATTGAAGAAAGTCTAACGTTCTATCAGGATTGCCATGATAAAAAAGTCAGCGATTTGGAAAAAAAATTGATAAATGATAAAAAAGTCAGTGAAAAAAAATATGGTCGAATGCAACCATAGGGGAGAATGAAAAAAATAGATTTAGACAACTAGAAGATCGTCAAAGGAGAAACAATCTTCGAATCGAAGGAGTCAAAGAAATTGATAACGAAAACTGGGATGATACGGAAGTAAAAATAATAAACCTTCTTGAAAATGACCTCAATGTAAAAGATGTAATCATAGAAAGAGCGCACAGAACTGGTATTATCGATAATAAAAAGCCTAGAACAATTGTAATTAAGTTACTAAATTATAAAGACAAAGTAAAGATTTTAAAAAACGCCAACAAACTAAAAGGTTATGGAATTTATATTAATGAGGATTTTTCGTTAGAAACTACTATAATAAGAAAGAAACTTCTTGAAGAAAGCAAAACGCATAGGATAAACGGCAAATATTCTGTTGTTATATATGATAAGCTCATTGTTAAAGAATTTAGAAAAAAAAATCATGTTAAATGATTTTTTTTTTTTTTTTTTAATTTATATTGATTTATTTTTTATTTAAAATGGCTGATAATATTGTTTATCAAACATAAATTTTAATTCACAGAAAAAGCCAATAATTTTAAACAACTATTCGGATCCCGATTATAATTTTTTTAACGATAGTCAAGTAATTAAAAATACTAGCCCGATATACTATAACCCAAATTCAAAAAATATTGATAAAGGAATGGAGGATAATTCGTTTTCAATGCTTCACATTAATATTAGAAGTATTCAAAAAAATTTTGAGTCATTGAAACAATTTTTACATAAAATTGACATTAGATTTCAGGTAATTTGTCTCAGCGAGACATGGTATCACGATGTAAGCATTAAAAACAATTCCAATTTTCAATTACCTAATTATAAAGTAATTCATCAAGTTAGAGCATCAAATAAGGAAGGTGGAGGTTTGTGTACACACATAAAAAATTCAATTTTATTTAAAAGGAAACCACAGTTAAGTTCAACCACTAATGATTATGAATCTTTATGTGTTGAAATTATTAATAAAACCTCAAGAAATATCGTCATCCATGCTTTATATAGACCGCCCTCAGGAAGCATTTAAAAATCACATTAAAAGTATAATAAAAAAAAAATCATCTTTAAATAAATTGGTTTATATTGTTAGTGACATTAATCTTAATATATTAGAATACGACAAAAATAAAAACATTAAGAACTTCTTTAACACAATTTTTCAAAATAGTTATTTTCCCCTAATCAATAAACCAACGCGAGTAACTAGAGAAAGTGCAACATCTTTAGATCAAATTATTACAAATGATTTCGTAAATATTAAAATAAGGACAGTTATATTTAAATCTGACATTTCTGATCACTTCCCTATTTTTATTCTATCGCAAAAATGCATCGACTATGATGCTTTCTTAGTGATAGAAAAAAATTAATTACAACACGGTTAATAAACGACGCTTCCATCAAAAATTTTCAAAAACTTCTCACTGGTGTCAACTGGGACACCCTACTACTAAATCTAAATGCCGATAAAGCATATGATATCTTTTTAACTGAATTTCTTAATCTTTATAATAAAGCATTCCCGGAAGTTACTAAAGTTATCAAAACAAAAACACTTTTAAACCCTTGGATCACGAGGGGCATTCTTAAATCCTCAAAAAAAAAACAACGTTTATATTAGGGTTGTTAACCGGAGGATTTCGTGCAATTCCGGAAAAACAACATTCTTTCGTAAGGAGATTGAGAACACGGAATTACATTTTTTCGTACCGAATGTTACAAAACATTTAAAATCGCCGATGTTCATTTCGCAAAAGCCACTTCCGAAATTTAGCATTTCGCAAGTTGACATACGAAACAAAACTATTTTGCAACATACGAAAGTAGCGGTTTCGGAAGTCGCACTTGCGAAACAAACATTTTCGCCAAACGACGTTTTGAAGCCTATAAAGAAAATTTGTTTGCTAGACTGATTTTAATTGTAAAAATTGACATCTTTAAATTTCAAAATGTTTATAATGAATTTTTGTTTTCAGTATAATAACTATTAAATTTTTATGGTTTTATTTTTAGAAATATTAATAAGATTTTAAAGGTATGTAGAGTCCTGTTTGAATACGCTTTTCGAAGTATAGATCTTAGAAAATATTGTTTTTTAATTTTAACAAGATATAAATTTGAGTATAAGATTGTATAGTTCAATCAGTTAGATACGTGATAATTCGCCGCAGAGATCCGGGTTCGCATCCCGCAGCCATTGTAACTTTTGTTCATCAAACTCTTTTTACTTAAGATAGCATTTTTTGACCTCCATGTTCTATATTACAGATCTTTCGTCACCTTCACAATAGTGACAACCTCTCTTCTGTTAGTGATTCTTTTAAGATTGAGTTCATTGTGCTTAATTCAACACGTTTCCCTTGCTTTACTAAGTTCTACTTAAATTATGATGAAATGTACGTAAAACAACTTTTTCAAATAATATAAATCATTTTTGCTTTAAATCTTTTGCTTTTTGTACTAGACATCTGTCCTAAATACTTTGTAATAATTTCTAGCTAACTCTGAGTCTAATATAACCATTTCTGAATATAATTTTCCTGAGGCTCCTACAGCCTATTGTGTTCCATTAAAAGTAACTAGTTTTTGAGTCCAGATATTAATTATAAGCATCTAAAGGTTCACATTACTATTCATTTTCCTGATATATAGAATCCTATTTGCATACGTATCTCTTTCTGTAAATTCTGTTTTATATAGTTTCTTAATTATTTATTAAATAAATATTACTATTCACTTAGTTGAATGAACGTATAGCTCATTCAGTTAAAACATTTGGCGTAGACCCAGGTTCACATTCCGCTGTTTCACATATATTTCTTCTCTTTTTACTCTTTCTGATATCATTTACCTTTAGAGAGATCTCTCGTTCTTTATAATAAAGTATTTAATTGTTTATCACACATCCTCTTTATACTTTTTAAAAAGAAAGGCATACTGTTTATCTGTTGAGAGTCTACCCGTTAAGTTGGACTCTCAATGAGTCCCGTTAAGTTGGACTCATTGAGAGTCCAACTTAACGGGATTTTACTGTATATATATATATATATATATATATATATATATATATATATATATATATATATATATATATATATATATATATATATATATATATATATATATATATTAGGTATATTTGTATAAACATTTGAAGAATCATTTGACAACATTTTTTTATAATTTTATTATTTATTATTTAAACTGTTAACAGTTAATATCTTAAATATATCGTAACATAAAATCTTTTGCGTCTTTTTCGTAACTGCACATTCCGGAATGCTTTTTCCGTAAGGAACTATTTCGTAAGTATTCTTACGAAATGATTTGTTTCGCAAGTTTTCTTTCGCAATGCTTTATTACGGAATTTTATTTATTTTTATTTTCGTATAGCGCGTTACGGAATGTGCATTTTTGCATGTGCAATTTCCGCAATAACAATTCTATTACGGTAGATAAAGATGCGAAATTTTCGCAAGTTTTGTTTTTCGGCGAACAACCCTAGTTTATATAACAAGTTTCTTAAAAAAAAACTCTTAAAAATGAAACTAATTACAAAACCTATAAACGGCTATATGAATCAGTTTTAAAACGCTCAAAGAAACATTACTATTCGGAACAATTATTTAAACACAAAAATGATTCGAAAAAAACATGGCAAGTTATAAAGGAGGTAATCGGTAAAAAACGTTCATACGGTAATTTACTTCCGAAAAATCTTAAAGTTAATAACAATTGTATTGTAAATAAATCCTTAGAGGCCGAAACACTTAATCAGTTTTTTGTAAATATAGGTCCTATTTTATCATCAAATATAGCAACTTCTCAAATACACTTTAAGTCTTACGTAACCTTAAACAACATTAGTGTTATGTCTAATCCTAAACTTACGGTAAATGAATTATTAGACGCAGTCTCTTTGTTAAAGTCCCAAAAAAGTGTAGGTTTCGATTCTATAAGTAGTAATGTCGTTATTAAATCGATAAAATACATCACAATTCCATTATTACATATTTTTAATTTATCTTTAAAACATGGTGTTTTTCCAGAAAACCTAAAAATTGCAAAAATCATTCCAATTTTAAAATCAGGCGATACTTCTGAAGTTGCAAATTATCGTCCAATCTCAATTCTTAATTGTTTTTCTAAAATATTAGAGCGAGTTATGTATAATAGGCTTTATTCTTTTTTAAATGTAAATAATATTCTTTACCATAAAC